TAATTCCAAATCACGAGTATAAGAAAATGTATATAATTTATAAATGCATCCATACCAAAAGCATCGGTATGACAGAGACCGACATGAGAAAGAGGGGCGTTGCCCAGTATATAATTACAATGGGGAAACCACACCCCGGAACAGCTTTATTCTTCTTATCGGCTCTAACATATGTACAATTAAACCATTTAAAAGCTTTTTTCTCCATCGGTCCTAACGCTCTCGACCGTATGGTCTCGAACATGCTGTGTGGATGATGAAATGTCCTACGGAGGGTAAAATCGTCAGGAACACTCATAAAATAAAATTCATTCTACCAGTTCTTGCAACTGGTCAATTTCGGCCACACTGTGCATTTACCGGGAGCGGTAAAAAGGGACCACCATTCGGGTGACTGACTATCTCTTTTTATCCAATGTAATCTCCGAAATAAGTTCAGGGTAAGGGGAAAGTACATAAATATCATAACCCAGACAAGAGAACAATATTTCGGATGGTCGGAGGCGTCAACTGTGCAATTGAAACATTCCAAGCCCTGAATATTTTTTCGATGTAATGGTGGAGTGGAAACCGTAAACCAAACTCTAAATGTTTTGCATACACAACAATGTGACCGGAAGGACAGTCCAAAGCCGTCTGACCATTACTTGGTAGTCTCAGTTCGTAACCGTCAGGGAGACGGTAGAAGCGTTTGCCATGTTGGCAATAATCTTTTTCGGTGGCTGTCTGCAACCACACCGGATCCACAGTTGACTCAGTTATTTCATAGCTGCCGGGAATTTCTTGAGGTTCTAGATACTTTGGATCATCTTGATCTGAGTCGTATTCCTTGTCGAGACGTTCCTCTTCTGCAATCTAAGCAGCAAGGTTGAAATCTGCAGCAATTTCCTCGTCGGTCTCGCTGTTTTCACCCTCATTATCTTCCCCCTCCCCAACCTCTTCAGACCCATCGGCATCGTCTTCGTTACCGATGCTTTCACCCCCGCTTTCTTGCCGTTCTAGGCTATCTTTGATTGACTGGATATCTTCTTCTCGGATATCCGAAGCTTCAGGCCCAAGGTCAGCCATTTCTTCATCAACGGAAGGTTTACTTCTTTCACCAACCTCACGTTGGTAACTAGTGTGTTTCGTTCTCGGCATCCTGTCAATATTAGTGTCGTATTGATTAAATAAATCCAAATTTGACCTCAAATGATATTGAACGCTAATAGGCTCAACATCGGCAATCTCTATGTCCTCTGGAATATCAGGGTTGGTAGGACGCAAAGCCTTCTCGGCGTCAGCTAGAAACTTATGACGGTAATAAGCTTCTCTTTCTTCTACAAAGGTTAAGGGTGTACAGAGTTCAGCCTCATTGGCTTTACCCATGTTTGCATGCATTCCGGAACCAGATATTCACAAATAATGAAATAAACGCAAAATCTACTAAACCACAAACCAGTGAGAAATCGAAAAGAAAGTTAGGGTTTTTTTACCTCTTTTTCATCTCAACTCTTGAAAGCGTAACTCGGGAATTAAGTGTCCTCCGTTTACAAACACCGTTCACAACACAACTGAACAAACCCTTGACAAATTGAGCCTTGAATCGCAGAAATATAAGCGCAGTACGAGCGAAGTGAAGTAGAAATTTTTTGAAATTTTTTCGCAAAGGAAATGAAGGGTCAAAGTGCAAAAGAAGCTATTTATACTGTCCAAATGAAGCGGTTGATGTGACATTTACTGCATGCCATCCAACGACTGTGATAAACACCTTTTCAAAATTAACCTGCTTTGATGACTGACACGTGCCCCATTACCTTATTACATTTTCTCGCCAAATCCTGGGGGATAAATTTTTAAATAAACAACAAATCGTTTTACCTCCTATTTTCGGTTTCATATTTAATTCACAATAACCATGTTGGCATTTTTTCCATGCTTTATTGACCAAAATTACTACCGTCAATTTGCTCACTTGGGGGCAAATCGTAGATTTTTTCTTGTTGATTTATTTAAATTACTACCGTCAATTTGCTCGCTTGGGGGGCAAATTGTAGATTTTCTGTTTGTTTTCTAAGCATGCTTGTATGCTGCTTTGTACATACCACCACCATGTTCCATCACAAGTGAGCACGTCAGTTTTACTAACGTCCTCACTTGGGGGGCTAGTTGTACGGGATATACCGGTAGTATCATAACATGCCGGTAAAAGAGTGCCTTGCAGTTTAAAGAAATGGTTAATTATTGAATAATTCATGTCCTTACCGGCATTAGTCTCTACCACGTGGAGAGCTGCTTCTCGGAACGTGGCATGTCCCACTGACACGCGGAGGGCTGCTTAGTGCCGCGTAAGCACCTGCTAGTACCAAGGTCGGTGTGCCACCTATCTGTATAGGTGGCACCTGCTTGGTTGCGTTCTTATAAATACCTAAACAAATTCTCATTTCAGAGGTGGAATCTCTCTCTCTCTCTAAAACATTTTCTCTCTCTTCTTTCACTTTCTTCTCACAAAGGTACTAACTTTAGCATCGGAGTGGTTATTCCCGGATAACCCCCGGGTTAGCTAATCTGTATTGCTGTGTAGGTGAGCAATTGGACGGTAAACCATTACTAGCCCTCAGACATTCACGGAATTAGAATCAAGCAGGAACACTATCTCTTCCGAATTGTAAATCTTAATAAAACTTTGCTCGGCATAAAGAGGCCACGCCACCATAGACACTCCAGCATCCAATGGCTCTAAAGTCGAGTTCCACCCACAATGACTTGCACACCCACCGATTCATGACCCAACACTGCAGTCTGTGGGACCTACAACTTATAATTAGCTACATAACCCCTATCCTTAGTTGATCCAATATTTTTTTTGGAAGGTTTGAGTCCTTTGAATCTGGTGGCTTAGAGAACTTGGAACACTTCTCTTCAATATGAGGGGCCTGAACACTGAACACTGCACAAGTGCACATACAAAAATCTTGTTTAAGCCCATTGTAGCCCACTTATGAGTGTCTCACATTAGAGAAAGAGGAGAGATGGTTTCACTTTATAAGGTAGAGGAGTACCTCATACTATTGCCAATTGGTTTTAGTATGGAAGCTCCAAAACCTTATTTGTGGACCAAACTTTCCTCCTCCTTGTTTGGGTTGCCCAGACCCATTTTATATTGTTTCGAAATTTAACAAATCTCACCCCACTCCTCTCTAACCCCAAAAGCTATCTCCAATATTTGCTCAAATTGCTCCTTATAAAACACACCTCTTATTAAAGGTATTGGTTCGACTGTCAACTCAGCAAGGAGTGCGCAGTCAGCAGAATCCAGCTCAGCTACCTAGATTCTGTTATAAAAACCTTCCTGAATTTCAGGATAGTTAGTTATAGATATTTAAAGTTAGATATTTTTATTTTATGTATCTTCTTACTGAAGCTACTAGATTATATGGTGATGTATAAATACTCTTATTTGGCATGTAATAACATCATCTACATCATAATAAAATTTTCCTCATTTTTTCTCTTGTTTTTCTTTCAATTTTTCACAATTTCTCTGAAATTATAACATGTACTTTCAAACTCGGATGATTTACCAAAATATGGTTCATTTGAAACTTATTCACCATTTTGCGTCAATACTAAACTTTTTTACAAAATTGCTATCCACATAGGCTCAGAAATACGTTTGGGTGAATTTAATTATTATTAAAGACAAATTGCTACTTCAGATAGCGGTTTTCCGTAATACTCTACATAACAAGCTGCTCTATTGCAAATACATTTAAAAAAACACACACACACATACTGGCATACACACCACAACAACCCTCTCTATTTCCACTAGACCACCATGCACATCACGTCGCAGATCATCATCCACTTTGCATCCTCCTGCACACCAGCGGCCAACCCATCTAGCGTAGCCACCACCAATTGATGAACATAATGGTTCTTTGATACTTAATTACCCCCAAATTAATAAGGTATTTAGCCCTATTTTTTTCTTCTTAATTCAATTAGTTGTTAAATTTAATTAAGCTATTGTCACATAATGTCAAAATCAATATAATAAACTCAATTTTCTTTGGAAATTAAATTCTGTGTTGTTTGGTTTCGTATACAAGATTGATGGATTTTGCTTTGGTTGCTTTTGAGTATAAGCATTGACTAAAGTAGCAGTTTTAGTACATAAGTTTAGTTTTAGTACAAAAACTGTACCTCTACCTCATGTAGCAGCTTTGAGCTGAATTTTTGTAAAGAAAATAACAAAGTTATCTGAGCCTATGTGGACAACAATTTCGTAAATAAGTTTTATACCAATGCAAAATTATAAATAAGTTTTAAATAAACCATACTATACCCGAAGTACACAACTACATTTATATTTACAACTACATTTAAATTTCGACCATCAACTACATTAATATTTCAACCAATTGTTTAACGTACTACATATGTTTCAATTATTTACAACAATGTGATATTCACCCATATTTAGGTAAATTTGTTTATAAATGATAATGTAGAAAGAAAAATAAAGTTATATGTGATGAAATGCAAGAATTAGAAAGAAATGACATGTAAAAAAGGAAGGACTAATACTCTTTATTTGTTGCAAATAATTTATAAGTAGTATTCATTTATGATAAATGTTGCTAATAAACTAAAACAAAAGTAGTTTAAATCAGATTATTTTCTCCTTTTTTATACCCTTTTAAATCAGATTATTTTCTCCTTTTTTTTATTCCCCCCCCCCCTTTTTTTTTTGAATTTATCTTATTAAAACTTAACTGTAATTATTATTAAATCTAAACGAAAATAAGGTGAATAGGTCGAACAGACCCTATATGATTTTTACTAATAAAATCTTTCAGTAACTATCTTAGCGGTCAAACATTTACAAATGTGTTTGAATGGAAGGAAAAGGGAAAGGAATGAAAGAGATTGAAGGAAGAGAAGGGAGAGAATTCCAATATTGGCAACATCCAAGATCACTCCATTATTTCTAACAATTTGAGAATTCCAGAACAATTGCACAAGTAATTAAGCTTATTAGAGATTCAACAGAAGTAAAGCCTAGAAATTGTAATGTCAGCATAGCAACTTACATAAGACATAACATTGTACAATCTTCAATGTACCCATGATTCCATTAACGTAGTTAATGCAACATTAGACGATTGTCCTTCATTGAGAGCAATCTTACCCTTCTCCCTCATTTCGAGCATTTGTTTTCTTACAACATCTCCTTCCGAGCCTAAAATTTGCTTAACTCGCTTCTCAATCTCACTCGAACTCACAAACCAATCTTCATTTTCATCCATCGGTAAAGCAATCCCTATCTCCTCCACAATCAAAATCTTATTAAACCTTTGCTCGGCATAAAGAGGCCATGCCACCATAGGCGCCCCAGCATCTACTGCCTCTAAAGTCGAGTTCCACCCACAATGACTAAAAAACCCACCCACCGATTCATGACCCAAAATCGCAATTTGCGGGACCCACGACTTAGCTACATGACCCCTATCTTTGGTCCGATCCAAAAACCCTACTGGAAGGATCAAGTCTAGATCCGGATCCGGTGGGTCAGAGAACTTGGCACCCTTTTCTTCACTAGGAGGAGCCCTAACGGTCCACAAAAATCTCACCCCACTCCTTTCTAAACCAAAAGCTATCTCCAATATTTGCTCCTTAGAAAACACACCTCTACTCCCAAACCCCAAGTACACAACACTTTTACTAGGTTGCGAATCAAGCCACTTCAGACATTCATGCCTCTCTTCACCACTGTTCTCTGCACCGCCGCCACGATTAGCAAACAAAGGCCCAATACAATAAACAGGAGGAATTTGTGTACCAGGAAGACAAGTCCCCTGTTTCAAACCTTTAACAGCTTTAACCTCTAATGACTCGAAGCTATTAACAATAATCCCATCAGACTTAAGCATAGTTTCAGCAACTTTAACAAACTCATAATAACTCACACCTCGATCAAGCATAGGCTCGAGCATATGATCAGCAGGAACAGAAAACAACCCTGGAATCTCAAAAGAAGTCTTAAGATTCCTGTAAGAATCAGTGGCTATTTTGTCGAAAACCGGTAAGTTCAGACATAATGCTAGAGCAGAAGCTCCAGAAGTGTAGAAATAGTAAGTGGGTATTTTAAGTGATAGAGAAACTTCAAGAGCAGGGTAACAAAAGAAGTCAAGAATGAAGGCTGAAACAGGGGAAGAGATAGAAATTGATTCAAGAGATTGCTTGACATTGTTGCTATTACTACGAAGAAATTCGAAGATAATTTGTTCAAAATCTTCGTAATTTGATGGATCACCAAGTAGTAGGGGAACAGAAGGCAGAGAAAGGAAGGTGATCGAAGGGAACGAAGCGGAAACAGAGGAAATGTAAGATGAATATGAGCCAGTTAAGAAGGGGAAGTTAACAATGAGAATGGTAATGGAGGAGATAGAAGAAGAGTTAGATAATAGAAGTTTTCCGAGCTCAACCATGGAGATTAAATGGCCGATTCCTGGTGATGGGTAAAGTACTATTTTCTCCATTGTTTTAGGAGTTTGATCTTTGGGGTTTTTTTTTTTTTTAAAGAAGATGAAATGTGAGAATAGAAATAAGAAAACTAAGTGAATTTATACTACTCTCTGAAGCAAATGTGTGATTGTCCAAGGGTTGTGGAAATGTGGACTCGTGGTTGACATTTTATTTTAGTAAATTGAAGTTGATTAATGGATAAGATGTTGAGAGAAAATGCTAGTGATATCTTAGAAAGTGGAATGCTAAATACCCCCGTTTAAATTTATCGCCACCATCATCATTCGAGCAAACTGACAATTTTGCCCTTACTAAACCCAAACCCATCTTTGACCCTTTTTTTTTTCTCTCTCCTCAAACACCAACCACTTACCTTTTTTACCACACAACCACATATTTGGGGTTTACCGGGAAGAAATTGGCGGAGAGCTCATGCAGTGGCGGTGGCGCGATCTCAAGCGGTGGAGGCGGCACAGACTTAGACATCGGCGACGGCGACAGCTACGGCAGAAAGAAGGTAAGTAGTTTCCGATTAGTTTTTTTTTTTTTTTTATGAAATAAGTGGGTGGTAACCGGTTGCCAACACCGGTAACCGGCGACCAAATCCGGTTGACCGCGCCGGTAATCAGTTTTCACCTCCGGTTACCGGTGGTGGGCGACCGGTTTTCACCTCCGGTTACCGGCCACACCATATTAATTTTTTTAAAGAAAATTGAGCAAATTTTGAATTAGGCTCCGATTACCGTCCATGGTAACCGATTTTGGCCTCCGGGTACCGTGGACGGTAACCAGTTTTGACCTCCGGTTGACCATGGTAACTGGAGCCCAAAACCGGTTACCGTGGAGCTCCGATTGATCCTTGATTCTTTTTTCATCAAGCCACCTCGATCACTATCCCTTTCTCGTCGACTTTTGTCGTCGTTGTGGATGTGCAGTGTAGAAGGTGGTGGTTGATACGGTTGTGGTTGATGGACTAATGTTACAAAATGAAAATGGGAAAAAAAATAGTAAAGGCAAGATTGTAATTTACTTGAAATGATGGCGGTGATGATAAATTTGGACGGCGATATTTAACACCCCTAGAAATTGTAGTAGTCAAGATGTGATAATCCAGGACTCTTACAATGAAATCGCGGCCAATCATCATACAATTGCTTTGATATTTTTAGATTGACAAATCAAATTCTTATAAGATTATTCTCTTTGTCCTGCAATCATTGATTGCCAAAATTTAGTGCACATTGCTAATGTACTACTCTGTCTGTCCCTTAATATAAAGCTTTTTTTCTAGTAATTTTATTACTCACATTATAAAAAGAAATATACTTTTAATTTAGGGACAAAAGGTGTACTAGCTTGAGCTTATATGTATATGATATTTTTTTCCCTTAAGGAAATGTATATGATTAGATGTTAAGTGTAAAAAATATACATCATTTATAGGTAAATAATTGATCGTTGAAACTTAACACACATAACAATACACTAGTTTGATCTTGAATGTTACCATAAGTTTTAGATAGGTAACAAATAGTGGAAAGCATTAAACCGTCTAACCAAATACTTAGCAACAATAATTATTTAATTGAATTTGTTTTCAAGGCAAACACATTCTTACTAAGCATGCTCTTAAATTATTAACAAAAACTACTCTTTCTCACATACTATCGCTTTTATGTTTCACTAACATTGCAACATTTTCATATATGCACATGTTTTCTCTTTCTTTCTCCTCATCAGCCCCGTAGCAGGTCCAGGGCGGGTATTAAAGCTTAATTTAGTTATAATCAAGACCCCAAATATATATATATATATATATATATATATATATATATATATATATATATATAAAAGTACTCCATGTTTGAGTAATTCTCAACAGTTTTCAAAGTAGATTAAAGTCATTAAATACATCATTTAGTTTTCTATATTTTAAATTTATTGAATATTTTAAAAATTTAATTTCTGGAGTAATATAGTACTCGTAGTATCTCTTTAAATTAGTTTTTCCAAAAACCTACCCAAAGTCAAAGTAGTCCTTAATAAATATGCTAATTAACTATGAGTATCTCTTAAATTTTCAATGCTGGGCAATATCAATTCTGTTTGGCTTCGACTTTCTATCGTCACTCTCTCATCAATTCAAATTATGTTATATTTTCTAATAGTTCAAGTTTCATGTTCAATTTATCAATTTGTTCATTTTAAAACTTTATCTCTTGTCTTTTTTATATAGTTAATATAATTTGTCAAAAACATAATTAATACTCCGTATAATTTGTGTTTGATGATTTTAATTTAATTTTGTAAGGTTTTTATTCGACAAATTGAATTTAATCAAGAAAAATAAAATAAGCAACAACAATTTGTTTCATTTAGTTTGTTTTCTTTTTCTTTGGCGTGGAATAAAATGATGAATAGAAGTATGGAACAATGACTTCTTATTATTTGCTCTTATAAATAAAACAAATGATACTACAGAGTACTTTGTATCTTTTATTTTTCAGATTTGATATTAGAATTTTGGAGTTAAAATTGAAGTGGCTAGTCTTTTTTCTTCAACAAAAAAAAAAAAAAATTAAAAAAATGAAATTATAAAATACGAGTAATTTTTTTTTGTGCAAATAAAATACGAGTAATTTTCTTTGGGGATTGCCTCTCGTGATCACCAAAAAAAAAAAAAAAAAACCTTATTAATTAGGGCCTCATATCATATATTCGCCCCAGGCCACCAATATCTCAAAAACAGGTCTGCTCCTCATCACATGGTCCCTATATTTAATCCCCTCAATCTCTCCTATTCTTAAAATACATGTCCGACTTAAAAAAAAAAGAAAAAAAAAATGTCCATCCCCATGTTGCAATATTTGGAATTTTGGAGAACGGGAAAATATAACGATTTAACGAATTTCATTAAAGAAAGTATTTCCATGAAAAGTAACTTCTTACTGAGAATATATTCCCATGTAAAACAAATGAGGCCAAAGATACAATAACATACAAGTAATTAAGTTTTGGAAGTGAACAAATTTACAAAGCCGCCCCCAAGGCCCCAACTGTGGCTCCATTAGATCTTGTACAGTTGTACAGTTATTATACATTAAACAAGTCCATTATTCTGAAATACAGGTATGAAATACTTACATTTTTAAAAGTTCCGACTCATTCTTTACCCTCTTGTTTTTAGGATAAGTTTATACGAGTAATTTATAAGGAATTACATTAGGAATTTCCCCTCGTAAGAAGGGCTTTCTAATATTTATTTTTTCTTATCTTCGTCTTTTATAGAATTATACTCCGTTCGTTTTTTTATATGCATCATTTGGGAATGCACATAGTTTTAGGAGATAAATATAATATTGTGAGTGGATGAATAAATAATTATAATAAAAGTATGATGGGAACCATGAAAGAAAAAGTATATAAGAGAATAGATATTTTATTATTTAAGTGGGGACATAGAAGAGAGAGAAATGATAAAATAATTTGAGTGGGGTTTAAAGTAAGAGAGAGAAATAATAAAATATAGTATAATTTTACCAAATATAAAAGTGATGTATATAAAAAAAACACCCATAAAACGAAAGTGATGCATATAAAAAAAACGAAGGGAGTATTATTCTGCAATGACTTTCGTGGCTTACAAAACCATTGATCTTTTAGAGAAACGACAAACCTTAATATCTCTATATTTTGTCGCACTTTAATAGTCATCGGTTCATCACATACTCAGGCCCTAGGGTAAGACCATAAAAACAGACCCTCTACCCATTACCAAGGGAGTATGTAGTTGTAGATTTTCACTTTTGCTAATGTTAAACATGTTTTGGCAATCCTGTAGTCCTGTACCTTTCAATTTTTTGGCAAAGCAGGCCCCGAACACCACACTTCTACTCAATTATTGCCCAAAAACCGCAATATAATTCACAAGTCGCATTTGGTGTACTCAATTATGTGATAAGTCATTTTTTTTATCATTATAAATAAAAGATAATAAAAACTCAAAAATAGCCTCCAATATAGGCAACATCCAAGATCAGTAGACCACTCCATAATTTCAAACAAATTAAGAATTTAAGAACAATTGCACAAGTAATTAAGCTTATTAAAGATTCAAGCTTATTAAAGATTCAACACGAGTAAAGCCTAGAAATTGTATTGTCAGCATAGCAACTTACATAACATTGCACAATCTTCATTCTTCAATGTATCCATGATTCCATTAATGCAGTTAATGCAACATTAGACGACTGTCCTTCATTGAGAGCAATCTTACCCTTCTCCCTCATTTCGAGCATTTGTTTTCTTACAACATCTCCTTCCGAGCCTAAAATTTGCTTGACTCGCTTCTCAATCTCACTCGAACTCACAAACCAATCTTCATTTTCATCCATTGGTAATGCAATCCCTATCTCCTCCACAATTAGAATCTTATTAAACCTTTGCTCGACGTAAAGAGGCCACGCCACCATAGGCACCCCAGCATCCACTGCCTCTAAAAGTCGAGTTCCACCCACAATGACTCACAAACCCACCCACTGACTCATGACCCAACACCGCAATCTGTGGGACCCACGACTTAGCTACATGACCCCTATCTTTAGTCCGATCCAAAAATCCTTCTGGAAGAATCGAATCTAGATCCGGATCCGGTGGCTGAGACAAATTGGCACCCTTCTCTTCACTAGGAGGGGCCCGAACCGTCCACAAAAACCTCACCCCACTCGTTTCTAACCCTAAAGCTATCTCCAAAATTTGTTCCTTAGAAAACATACCTCTACTCCCAAACCCCAAGTATACCACACTTTTACTAGGTTGCGAATCAAGCCACTTCAGACATTCATGCCTCTCTTCACTATTATTCTCCGCACCGCCGCCACGGTTAGCAAACAAAGGCCCAATACAATAAACAGGAGGAATTTGTGTATCAGGAAGACAAGTCCCCTGTTTCAAACCCTTTACAGCTTTAACCTCCAACGACTCGAATGTATTAACGATAATCCCATCGGACTTGGGCATGGTTTCAGCCATTTTAACAAACTCATGATAACTCACACCTCGATCAAGCATAGGCTCGAGCATATGACTAGCAGGAACAGAGAACAATCCAGGAATCTCAAACGAAGCCGAATCCATAAGATTCCTGTAAGAATCAGTGGCAATTTTATCGAAGACCGGGAAATTAAGAAAGAAAGCTAGAGCAGAAGCACCAGAAGTGAAGAAAAAGTAAGTGGGTATTTTAAGTGATTGAGACACTTCAACAGCAGAGTAACAAAAAAAGTCAATAATGAAGGCTGAAACAGGGGAAGAGACAGAAATCGATTCAAGGGATTGTTTGACGTTGTTGCTATTACTCTGAAGAAATTCATAAAGAATATGTTCAAAATTTTCGTAATTTATTGGATCACCAAGTAGTAGAGAAACTGAAGGCAGAGAAAGGAAGTTGATTGAAGGAAAAGAAGCCGAAACAGAGGAGATGTAGGATGAATATGAACTACTAACTGAAGGGAAGTTTGCAATGAGAATAGTAATGGAGATAGAAGAAGAGTGAGATAATAGAAGTTTTCCGAGCTCGACCATGGAGATTAAATGGCCGATTCCTGGTGATGGGTAAAGTACTATTTTCTCCATTGTTGGAAAAACAGAGGAATTTGAAGTTTTGTTTTTTTTAGAAGATGAATGAAAACAAGAAAACTACACAATTGACTGTAATTTAAGCATGTTATTATCTGCTTTTCAAAAAAAAAAAAAAAAAAGCATGTTATTATCTGAACCAAATCGTGAACTCGTGGCTCACGTTTTTTTGTGAATTGAACTTAAATAAATGGAGATTGGAGAAGGTGTACAAGAAAATCTTAGTGAAAATCTTTGAGATTTCAGTAGTTAAGATGGTGATGTAATCCATGACCATTACAATGAAATCGTGGCCAACATACAACTACTTTCCCAATTTTAAATTCACCAGTCACTATTAAACTACTTCCTCTTACTACCAAATAAATGAAACGGACTAGTTAAATTTAACATACATGTGACTCACTAATTTGACGTTAGATATATACCAAACTACATTTAATATACTACCTCCGTAAAGGTTATGTGCAACGATTTGACATAAAACAGAGAGGAAAAATGTCTAATCGTTGCACATAACCTGTAACGGAGACAATTAGTTGTATCATTATAAGGTGTTAAAATAATGTTAACTTTTGATCTAAAGATTAATACTAATAGCTCTTATAATAATTAACAGAAACATCAAGCCTACATCCTCATTTTTTTAATTGATTTATTTGACTTTTAACCTTACTCACACACCTCACTTTGGCCATTATTTACTATTAATGAAAATCATAGCTACGTAACTACGTTGGATCTCGTTAAATGCGTCTTGATATAAATTTTTCAAATATATAATTTTTGAAGTTATAGATCCTTGTATATAAGGTTTTGTATTGAAATATGTGTAAAGTTAAAATGGAACAATTACTAATAAACCAAGTACAGTAGTAATTTTAAATTTTAAGTACCTTACTTGTCCAGCATCTAGAGTGTTATTAAGTACTTGTTACATACTCCGTAGTAAGGATTATGCTAGAGTTAAACTAGGCACTTTGTAAAATTAGTGAGAACAGGTTTTTGATTTTTTTTTTTTTTTTTTTTTTTTTTTTTTAAAAAAGTGTGTTAACTTCAGAAATCAAAGTTCATAAGATAACTTCCTATGCACAAATGATTGTCTAAACAAACACTAAAGACTATTAATTTAAATGCTGGCACAGCTTCTTACATTACACATTAATACAGTACTATCTTCAATGCTTCCATGATTCTATTAATGCAGTTAATGCAACCTCTGACGATTCTCCTTCATTTAGTGCGACCTTAGCCTTATTTCTCAATTCGAGCATACGTTTCCTTACTACATCCCCTTCCTCCGATCCCAAAATTTGCTTGACTCGCTTCTCAACCTCTCACTTGAGCTCACAAACCAATCTTCATTTTCATCCATCGGTAATGCAATCCCTATCTCCTCCACAATCAAAATCTTAATAAATCTTTGCTCGGCATAAAGAGACCACACCACCATAGGCACCCCAGCATTCACCGCCTCTAAAGTCGAGTTCCACCCACAATGACTCACAAACCCACCCACAGATTCATGACCCAACACCGCAATCTGTGGGACCCACGACTTAGCTACATGACCCCTATTTTTAGTACGTTCCAAAAACCCTTCCGGGAGGATTGAGTCCAAATCCGGATCCGGTGGCGGAGTAAACTTAGCACCCTTCTCATTACCAGGAGGGGCCCGAACAGTCCACAGAAATCTCACCCCACTCCTCTCTAACCCAAAAGTTATCTCCCATATTTGCTCCTTAGAAAACACACCTCTACTCCCAAACCCCAAGTACACCACACTCCGACTAGGTTGTGAATCGAGCCATTTCAGACACTCATGTCTCTCTTCACCATTGTTCTCCACACCGCCATCACGATTAGCAAACAAAGGCCCAATACAATAAACAGGAGGAATTTGAGTACCAGGAAGACAAGTCCCCTGTTTCAAACCCTTAACAGCTTTAACTTCTAATGATTCGAAAGTATTAATGATAATCCCATCAGACTTGGGCATAGTTTCAGCCAAATTAATAAACTCATAGTAGCTCACACCTCGATCAAGCATAGGCTCGATCATATGACTAGCAGGAACAGAGAACAACCCAGGAATCTCAAAAGAAGTCGAAGCCTTAAGACTCCCGTAAGAATCAGTGGCAATTTTGTCGAACTCCGGGAAGTTAAGAAAGAACGCTAGAGTAGAAGCACTCGAAGTAAAGAAAAAGTAAGTGGGTATTTTAAGTGATTGAGAAACTTCAACAGCAGGGTAACAAAAGAAGTCAAGAATGAAGGCTGAAACAGGGGAGGATACAGATATCAATTCAAGGAATTGCTGGACATTGTGGTTATTACTACGAAGAGCTTCATACAAGATATGTTCAAAGTCTTCGTAATTTGAAGGTTCACCTAGGAGAAGAGGAACATAAGGAAGAGAAAGGAAGGTGATAGAAGGGAACGAATTTGAAACAGAGGAAATGTATGATGAATATGAGCCAGTTAAGAAGGGGAAGTTGCAATGAGAATGGTAATGGAAGAGATAGAAGATGAGTGAGATAAAAGGAGTTTTCCAAGCTCAACCATGGAGATTAAATGGCCGATTCCTGGTGATGGATAAAGTACTATTTTCTCCATTATTAAAAAAAAAACAGAGGAATTTGAGGTTCTGTTTTGGGAAGATGAAATGAAATGTGTGATTAAAACAAGAAATTGATTGTTTTATAAAGGGAATAATTACAATAATGATAGAATCAAAGAACAACACCTTGCAAAATTAGTGAGATACAACTTATCTTAATTTTTTTTTCTCTTTTTAGTATGTTTAAGACAATTTCAATGCATAAGTTATTATGGCATTATTAGATCGAAAGAATAAAAAACATAAAAATAATTATGATAATTTTCTGTCATGTTCCATCTTAAGGTAAAACAACAGTGACTACAGTGCTACTAATTCTTGACTAACCATTGAGCAAGTGTAAACAAGTAGAAAGTAAACAAATTGGAAAAGTTATACGAAGCATTTCTTTTGATTGTTAAAAGTTATACTTTCCCTAAATACTACTGGTATATGGTTTTTAAATCAATATATCATTGTACTATTGTAGATGTTTATGACTAATTATAAACCACGTTCATTCCCTTCCAAAAAACATAAGTTATGAATGAAGGACACAATATTATTTCCACAATAAATTTAGTTGTTTATAAAAACAATGACCGTTTAAAGGAAATGGCAAACCTTAATACTTAACGCTATGTTGAGAATTTAGAGAGAATATAACTTTAACTTGCTGACAATTAAAGATAACCATTTTCTAGACTAAGCATCTTTGAAATATAAAGATTATCCTCAGCTATTTCACAAAATAACAGACTAAAGGTTTTGAAGCTCAATAATAGCTTTTAACTGAGACAACAAAACAAAATCAAGAGACCTCGACTTCAATGAGTACGATTAGCCACCCAACATGTAGTCTGGAAAAATAAAAGACTATAGCAGGCCAAAAAACTGCACAAGATTAAATGTAAGATAGAAAGACTTAGTATTCCCATTTCTTCATCTCCATGCCATCAGGAGGGGTTCCATCAACCTTCTTTGCGCCCACATCCTTCCAGTTTGTTGACAGCACTGTTCCATTTGACTCCACCTGTGAATGATAGAACAAGCAATCAATTTTCCAGAAACTATAGAATCCATTTGCAGAAGCAAACCACGTCACTCAACAGATCGGAATCAATATTTATAGAAGTTCAAAGTCTTACAAAGGATTTCTGCATAGCTCTTCTAGTGTCCTCATCAGCATCTCGATATATGTCCTGGAAAAATTTGTTCAAAGCTGCATCACCATCCAATTTTTCATCCTTCTCCTGCAAGATGAGACCCAGCTTCTACTAAGTGACAATTCAAGAAAGTATATATATATATATATATATATATATATATATATATATATATATATATATATATATATATATATATATATTGGAATGTAGAGAGAGCCACTAAACTAGTTGGCATCCACAAGTATATCTCTCTTAATAAGGGTACATTTGGTTTAGTTTTTGTGAGGCAACAGAACAGACAAAGAAAATAAATAACACACCAGATAACGCACAGCCGGGTAGCTATTCATACGAGTAGAGAACATGAATACAGGTGGATTCGAATGGAACTCTATTTATTTCCCCAGTTTATGTTTCAATCCACACCTTCACAAAATAATTAAAAAAAGAGAGAGAGCACATGCAAAACGAAAGAGTAAAAAGGTCCCAATTTCTCATTCTTTTTTCCTATTTATCTGTAGAAATCCTTCACAAAGAGCATAGGTGGCCGTACAAAAGCAGATGTTCATTAGGATAATCCAACATTAAGTATGAACTATGAAAACGTACCTCTTTCTTCACCTGAGCTTCCAACTTGTCCCAGTCCACTCCCCTGTGTTTTGAGGATGGGTAAGATGGCCTCTGTGCAGCTGCAATATTTCATAAATTAACATAATTAGAGTTCAGTTACTTGTACACAAACTACTATTAGCAAACGCAAAACATATTTTCTTAGATCAGCAAGTTAAATAGAGTACTATGGCAAGCAGAGAGCATTTCCTTTCTACTCTTCAGATAGTATAAATAACATTCATTCAAATTTGATATTAGCGCATAACTTAATCACAGTCCGGAATAATTTCTAGTAAACCTCACTTTAATCTCCATTTCAATCCTCACCCCAGAAAAACACGGGGGAGTAAGACAGCAGCACTTTCAGCATTCTACAGAAATGCTCCTAACATTATAATGGACTTGAGAAGAGGTTCATCCACAGCACAATTGACACAAAAGGCTGGATCCAGGCAAAGTTTGACTACTAATCAATTCAACCATTGACAGAAATATGATACAGGAACAAAACAACAATATTCTAGAATCTAGATAGCTGCCAAAAATCTGATAAGCAACACTATCCACTTACGAGTTGAAATGTTTATCTTTTGGGGAACAACAACATCCTTGACATATTCCAAAGACGTCCATTGAATTGGTTCAGCTTTTGCAAGACGGATTTCAATTTTTGTGGACAAGACATCATATCTGCATTTGGCGGGAATTATCTGCCAGGATACAACATGCAATACAACCCCAGTTACAATATTTCAATAAGCACATTGCTTAAGATACAATTGCTCAAAAGAAAAGCATTTGTTTCCATCTTTCATCACAGCCATAATTCTAGAAGATTTAAATCGTCCTTGGCCAATAACTTTCCAGAACCTCATATTCTCTGATTTAAGGCAGCATCAAAATCACAAAGAGAAATAAGAAGATAGCTTCAAAGTATGTGATTTACCTTTCCAAATAAGCGAGGTTGAAGATGATATGGTTCTTCACCAGGAAGATCAATGGTAACACTCAGCTGAAATGCAAATGAATATTGTAAAAGTCTCATATAAACACCCCCAAAGAATTACTATGTTTCAATTGAATACAGAAAGACTCACAATTTGTTCACCAAAGTCAACGGCAACATCTTTGGCTGGTATACCCTTTGCAAAAACAGTTACTACTACTTCCTCAGGCTTCTGATAGAATTCATGCCTGTAACATGCAGTTCATAAGGACAACCAAATTACTCTCTAACGTCCAAAAGAATAGTCAATTGGAAGGAAGAAAAATTAAAAATGAATAAATAAATATATAAATCTTGAAAAAGAAAGCTTAAGGAACCAAGAAGGACCTGAATTTTGGTTTTGATACTGGCAATGCAGTTGTTGGACTAGAATGTCCATCAACGGCAGGAGCACTGGCTGCTTGTGCATTGGTAGTATTTTCGACTGAAGGTTTTGAAAAAATGGCATTCTCTTCTGCAAGTAGCCATGAAGCACCCAAGAGTCACAAGACATAACATAGAGGTTTGTAAATTGGCTCTAAAAAAATTACTCATTCTACAAAGTTAGAATATGATATCTAAGCCAGCAGCACCATGCATGGAAACTTTTACGAACTATCAAGACTTGTAATCAAGGAGAAAACATGAGTGGAATAAAGATGTATAAGATAGAAATTTGAAAGGGAAAAAAAAAACAAGAAAAGCAATTCAACAATTTTGCTGAGCAACTTTCATGATCAATAACAGCACAATCACAAAGGGAGGTATTGAGAATTATTAAAAAAAATTGAAGAATAGTAAATACAATTTACCGGGGGAGGGTGGGGGGGGGGGGGTTAAACATAAACAAAATACTTCATACCCACAATTGAAAACATGTGCTTTTGGGAAACAGAATAAACGGGAATGTCAATATTGTAGGGCTGGATTAAGCAGAAATGCAATGCTTTGTTACAGAACCTAGATAAGAAATGCAAAACATATTAGCTATACCTGCAATACACTCATCACATTCCTTGATAAAAATTTTAAATCTTGAATCTTCAGGAGCTAAGCCAGCCCCAGCTTGGAAGGCTGTCTTGGCAGTCTGATATTCCTCAAGCTTCATACACGCAGTTCTGAGAAGATAAGATCAAACCATGAGAATCAAAACACAATATCATAAAAAAATTAGACAGAATTTTCAGGAAAATAATATTAAGTAATCTAATGAATAATACACAGAAACTAATTGTCAGTACTAGCAAGAAACCATTGTCACAATAGAGCCATAACAGTCAAACAATTTTGAAAAAGCCCGACCCCTAATACATCAAAACTCATCTCGTACATCCTATATCTCTCTTAATCTCTTTATGCCGCAATATGGTCTACAAAAAGTATGTCTATGCCCTAACGCGTCAAATTTCTTTAAGTACATGCTGAATCTCTCTTTATGACACAAGACCCAAAATATGTTTTCATGGAAAGTTAATAAGCATCTATAACAATGAAGATAGAAAACAAGAGATAATAAGGTAAAACTGTTGCAATTCAGTAAAAGAAAATCGAGAACGAACCCTTTCCGTAAGTAAGCCTTAGCCATTGAAGAATCCAACTGGATGGCTTTGTTTGCATCAGCAACAGCCTCTGTACATATAAACAATAACCAATTAATCAATTAATAAAAATTAACTAATTTCCAATACATAAAAATAGGCTCAAAGTTTAATTAAATCGCAATCAATATGTACTTTTATAGTATAGTAGTAGTAAGTAAGAATTCAATCATATTCAATAGCAAACCCGGTCAACTAAAAGAATCACATAACACAATCCACATTTTTCGTTTCTGAAAATTGAAGAAAGATATCAGCAAGAAACACAGGTCAATTTGATCATACTAAAATAAGTCAACAATTAACAAGAAAACGGGAACAATTAAGCATTGTAACGAGAAATAAATATCAAAATTCACGAATTAGTACTTTACAACAAAAGTTGACCACAAATTCAAAAATCCAATTAAAAACCCTAGAATTGAACAATTAACCAGCAAAATTCATCAAAATTTTTATAAATCAAAACTTTTTAAATACAGCAACAATACGATGAACAGTAAACACTATACTGTATCACTTAACTGATAATTTTTTAAAAATAAAATTATTCAAACAAAACAATTGAAAACAAATCTGCCATGTATAGACGATGAAATCGAAGAGAGAGAAAAGGCAAACCAGTGAAGTTAGAGAGTTTGATGTTGGCTTGAGCACGGTCGGCAAAAAGTTCGGCGTTATTAGGGTTCAAATCAATGGCTTGAGAGTAGAGTTCGACGGCTAATTCGAAGTGGTCGTCGATGAAAGCTTCCTTAGCCTTGGTCTCGAGATCCGTCGCCATTGTTGAATAGTCTTCGACCTTCGGAACTCTCTGGAAGGTTGAGAGGAGAGGAGAGAGAAAGAAAGAGAAAGAGAGAGTTTGAGAGGCGATTGACTTGACTTAAAATTGTGGATTGATAAATTAAAGAGAGGGTACTATGGGTATTTATAATATTGTAAACCTGCCTTTTGTAAGTTTTTGCCAGGAAATTAGAGGGGATTAACTAATTAATTTTAGGAAATTGCTTTGTTTTGTATAAAAATAAGGAAAGTCTTATGTCTCACGATTAGATAAGAAGTTTGATTAAAGTATTATGTGACCTAATTTGAGTGTAATTATTACTTCTTCCATCCCTTAACTATTAGGACAATTTACTTTTTACGATATGATTTAAAACGAAAATATTACTTTAACGTTGTACTTTAAAACTATGTAAAAAGATGATATTTAAAAGATTGGTGTACCTTGTATACTTTAATCAAATCTAATTCTCCGTAATAGCTTCTTTTAGCACAAATTGTACATGGTTAAGAAAAATGCGTATATCAACTTCTTTTAATGGTTTTGGAGTTTTTGTTAAATTCGTCTCGATATAAAGCATCACAATATCAAATTATAATTCAAAATATTTTTAACTTTTGTGGGTTAAATTGTGTTCTTGAAAGCGTAATATTATAGTTTTCTAATGGGTTTTATAATATAGTATATTAAAGGCATTGTTGGCCTAAAGAGTAGACTACGGAGTACTAAATACCGCCATAAAACCAATGATTATAGTTATAAAATAAATTTTTTATTTTTTTTTAAAAAAAAAAACTAATTTAGAAACCAAATAAATCTCAACTTTGATATGAAAAGGGAAAAAGAAAAAACAATAGGAGTATTTTGAACAAATCAAGATAGATAATAATTATTCCATGATTTGCATCCACCGAGTTTTATGTGGTTTGATCCTTACTAGAGAGTTGCAACCTTTAATTTAGTATTAAAAATCATATTATATGTTGTCTTTTATTCATTTGTTTTTTTGTTAGATGATTTTACAGCAATTGTTTGAAAAATGACTGCCATATTGTTTTAATTGATATATAATATGATCGGTTCATTTTATTTTAGATTTGATTAAAATTTTCAAAATTTATATTACATTGTAGATATTATAAGACTAATTGTGGCTATTTTATAACGATAGATCAAAAATTTGTTGATAATACTATTTAATACCATTAATAAAGTAATATAATTGATTATTTGAAGAAAAAAATATGTCAATTATGAATTATATAATCATTAAAATATTATGATAGTCATATTTCAAACGATTATGGTAAAATTTTCATTTTTGGCTTAAATAAAATTGATTTAAACTATCTTAACTTATCGACATATTAATATTTTCTTAACTTATTTTTAACTGATTTTAGTTTTTCTCTTTAAATGCAACCCGTTAGTACATCAAAGTTAAGAAAGGTAATTTTCCAATCCTTGATCTACATAGTGTATTTTAAACTGTTGATGTTGCATGAGACACGACCAATACTTTGTTTTTCATTTTGATTCTCTGTTTTCCTTTTGAATCTAGGTAGAGTGTTCATAAAATAACTAAGATTTTATTACATGCTTGTTATTTTAAGTAAGAATCTGAAAAAACAAAAAATTATGAAAAGGTAGATACTCTAATGTGACTTTTTAGCTGTAATAAAAAAGAAACGAAATATGCTTTAGAATTGCCATTACAAGCATTCTGATTGCAAGAAAAGTTAAATTCTAGACTTCTACCAATAGCACATAACTTGCCCTCTCTTTTCTCATAACAATTATTCCTTCCCACTTTTATTCATGAAGATCCCAAAGCCCATAAAGAAGTTCTTTGGCCTATCCTTTTAGGAATATAAGAGAGTAAATCATTGTTATACACTTTTATCACATAGATCATGTGATACAATTATATAATTATACAATTATTTTAATGATATTTCAAGATAGAATTATGTAAAAAATTAACATTTGAATATAATCTTATTAGGGAGTTTAAAGTGTTTTATTACTCGTAAGTCTTAAGTCTTACGTGTATTAAAATGTTGTGTTGTTATTGTGTATCCAGTAAATAATAAAAAAGTCTTTAAATAATATAATGAGATTTTATGAGTTTATGATGTTGAACCTTTACTCAAATTTAACATATCCCCTCCTCCTTCACTTCCTTCCATGATGGCTAGTTAGCTATCCAAACCTCTTTTCATCCTTAATTACTTTTTTACTCCCTTAGCTCTTAAATACTGTAAAAAGTTTACTTAGGATACATGTTAGTGCACAAGCTAACTTTGACTATATACGAAGTATATGTACACTGTACACACACACAGTAATGTGTTACAAAAATTATATAAAAATTGAAAATATACATTGAGTTTAACACAACAAATTATTATACATTGTTAACCGATTTTTTTATTTAGTAAACATTTGAGTCAAAAGTTAATACTCTCCATATTCCATAATTAATATAATTTGACTTTCTTACTATTCATATATGGAGCTAGTATGAGCTTTGATTATATGGAGTAGTTTATTTGTACTAATGTACTTTAAAAATAAATGTTAACTACCCTAAAATTCAATAATTATAGATATCACTATCTATTAACAATTTTTGTCAGGTGGCCCTCTTGTTTGAACATCAAACTTTAATTTAACATATTTCATATCCATAGTTCAATTGTAATTTGAATTTTGGTAGCCCTTATAAAACCTTAACATAATCTATTTTTTCTAAAATTTATAAATTTTGAGATTATTTTTCTAGTAATAAGGTAAACAACCAAATCTTTCGTGTTTTAATTATCTTCTCAAATGCAAGCAAACTCTAAAGTCAATACTCTACAAATTCAAGCTACCAAAAGCTCTAAAAATGAGATATATTTACCCCGTAAAACCGAGCTCAAATGGTTAAGTACACCATATTTTATAACTTTCTTCAATTTCTACTAAAACTCCGCACATGGAGAAATTGAAGTATTTAAAAACGAAGGGTGAAACCTGTTCATATATACTGAACTGATTGGAGCTGAAATAAACTAAATTGAATTAAATTGAACTGAGATGAGATGAATATTTTATGAGAGAAGGAAATTAAAAAGCTGAAATGAAATTAAGCTGAAGTGAACTTACTCCTCAATCCATAAAATCGAGCTCAAATAGTTAACGAGCCAATTCGTCTCATAGGCTGCATTTGGACGCATTATACACACACGAAGACCCCTTAGGGTCCTAGACACACATCTTGAGTTCTGCTGGTGCATCACTGCAGTTTCAGTGTCCCTTCCACAAAACCCTCTCATTTCCAACTTCGAAGCATCCAACCACATTTTCTTTACAAACGCCACCATTTTGGAAATTTAGGGCACTGAAATCGACGAGAAACTGCTGAAGAACATCACCTTATCTAGGTAACAAGCTCAATCTCTCTCATATTCCAAAACCCCAATTTCATCAAATTGCCACCATTTTGATATTTGTAATTCAAATTTGATTTATTGGTACCGAATTGATTAATTTTTGCTCGATTTTTTATTTTCAGGGTTAGGGTTTAGTGTAATTTTTTTTGGATTTGAGCTATTTGGTATTGAAATGTCTACTTTAACGAGTCACAAATTGTGCTTGAAAGATTCCTTTACTTTCAGCCGTCCTCGCTCTGCTTCTCCATATGCCTGTAACAGGTACCATTTTAAAATTATTTCGATTTTTTGCTATAATGTTTATATTTATATGTTGAATATAGTGTTTATTGTTTGAGGTTTAGGAGTTTGTTTTCTTGTCAGTAATTTTTGTTTATCGTTTAATTATAAAACTATTGTTGTCCTTGGAAATGATTATTTCGTATCATAGATAGATGCCGGTGACTGGTGATAGACTACATTAGGCTTTCTGTCGGAGTTCGATTGCTATTAGCTTGGGCACCTTGATTTATGAACTTGAAACTGGGGTTCCCTTTCCCATTTTTGGGTTAGGTGTCATGTTTTGTGGTTAATGATCAATATGGACCTTAGGCCTTTAGGAGATTGAGAGCATGAGGGACTTTCCCCAACTTTTTTTGGGTAAGATTATGGTTTTTGGTGGCCATTGGAGATGAGGATGACGGACAACGGGACATTTAGCAAGTGATATGGAAACATGTCAAGAGCATGATTTATAGCCTTCAATAATGGGTTTGTATGGGAGATTTTGTTTTGGTGGCTTATTTTAGATGGTCCTTTTTCGAATGCAGTTGTCATTGGAGGTTACTAAATATCCTGAAGATTCCCCCTATAGCTCAGGCAAGACTTCTCATTGGTGCTAGGAATGGGTCCATAAGTCCATTGTGATCTCTGAGCTCTAAACTTCGGGAATGTAGATTTCAATTTATACATCCCATGTGTTTCCAGGAATTATAATTTTTTTTGTGGAAATTGTGAGGGGCTTTTTAGCTTGTTTGGGAATAGAGATTTCTTTTACCTTGACTGAAATGTGTCGAATACATGAAACATGGAACTTTATTAATCCAAGGTAATAAGAATGCCAAGTTTAGGTCTTTATAGTGTGTAGATTGGGACCTTACCATTTTATGCTTGGTATTTTTATGATATGAGATTATGAGCCCAAGATTCTGTTCTCTAGATTTTTTTCCCTGCTTGTAATAAAATGTTTGTTCATCATCCAACCGTTTGTCCTTTCTTTTTTCTTTTTTCCCTTGCAGAGTGTATTTTAGGTGGAGGTCCCCGCAAGCTGCTGCCATTGCTAATTTCCATCTCCCTATGCGTAGTTATGAAGTTAAGAACAGGTAATATATCATTTTTAGTTGTAAGGGATATGTCTTGCTAAGTCTTGCCAGATAGCCTTTTTTAAAAATTTCTGAGTTTTGATTACATGTACATCTCTATTCAAGCATGTGATTCATTGAGTCTATCAGCAAGGCACAACCTAACTCTAATACATACCTCCCTCTGTTTTGAAGAAGTCAGTCAGGTATGAAATGTTTTGGAGCTTTTGGTGCACCCAGAACATGTCCCAAGTATGCTGGGCAAATTTGGTTTTACACATAATGATCTTACAACAGTCCTTGTGCATCGTTGCAAGGTCTAAGTTAGAATTTATGGGGCTTTTGTTTTAATCAATTAAGATGTATTGTCTTGTCTATCTTTTCAAAAGTACTAATAGCTTTTTGCCAAGCAACATACTTTAAGAATCTAGGGGCATATAATTTGAGAGATTGTTGATGTTCATTTGATTGGAGATTTTAATCGTTACCTAAAGTTGTTTGATTATGGTAAATAGTGTGCCAGACTGCCAGCTAGCTTGTTTCTGATGACAATGTGGCCTGGATGTTATTCAAATTAGCTGTACAGTAGTTTATCGTTTTTGGCTGAGATAATGGGGGATTGATTTTCAAAGGAGGAAAAAAAAAAAAACTCTGTACCTGCTTGATAAGCAGTGATGGGCTGAAACAGAAAAGAAGAGTCGAAAGTAGGCTTTAAGTAATTTTTATCCTACTCTGGCCCACCATATTAATGACTAGATATTTGTAATTAGTTGGCTAGCACTCGTTAGACGGAACTGTGCAATCCTTGCTGTTGAGTAATTCATTTCTCCTGAGAAAAATGTTTTCCGGGTTATTGCGATGTAGCTCTTGTTGTCGTATAGATAATAAGATGATCTTTCGATTTGCTGAAGTAGGAGCTGGCTATCCTCAGATCATAGGACACCAGGAAAGCCAATTGCTGTTCTGTATTATTGAGTTCAATAGGCAATTGCCCCAATGAACTCTGGCATGACCAACTGTTCTAGCCCTATATGCCCATTAGTCTCCTCCTGTCTTAATTTACTCGCTTAAGTGGATGCCCAGTATCAGCTTAGTTTACTTTGCAAATGAATTTGACTTTTGTATATGCTTAATAATGTTCTTGTTATGTGGTAAAGAATCAGAACTTGATAGGATTTGGGCTAGATATATACATTTCAGTGAGGCTGGATTTTAGTGAGATACAAACATGAAGATAAACCATAAACTTAATCTTTGCTGCATGTACTGATGAATGATGAGGACAATGTTATTAAATCTGTGCTGCATGTGATGATGAATGATGAGGACCATGTTACTTTTAATAAAAAGAAAAAGAAAGAGAAACAATGTGTATTTTTAAAAGCTGTGAGGTTATTGTCTCATTTTGTATCTAAAGAAGTAAATGACTATAATTACAGCATTTTCATACTCCTTCCTTTTTTACCCTTGTGAACTTCAATTAAACTTTTGGATAGCTGTTGTAGTGTAGATGTATTATAATGTTAAGTTTGGTTTTAATTTCAGGACAAATGTGGATGACATTAAGGCCTTGAGACTCATTACTGCCATTAAAACCCCATATCTACCAGATGGAAGATTTGATCTTGAGGCTTATGATGCATTAGTGAACATGCAGATCAATGGGGGTGCTGAAGCTGTTATTGTTGGTGGTACAACCGGTGAAGGGCAGTTAATGAGCTGGGACGAGCACATTATGCTTATTGGTCATACTGTCAACTGTTTTGGCAGTAGAATCAAAGTGATAGGGAACACTGGCAGCAACTCAACGCGAGAAGCAATACATGCTACTGAACAGGGGTTTGCTGTTGGAATGCACGCTGCACTTCACATCAATCCTTACTATGGCAAGACTTCCAATGAGGGTATGATTGCTCATTTTGAAAGTGTGCTCTCTATGGGGCCAGCCATTGTATACAACGTACCATCTAGAACAAGTCAAGATATTCCTCCTCAGGTGATGCATTCTCTAGCACAGAGTACTAACTTTGCTGGTGTTAAAGAATGTGTAGGTCACGAAAGAATTAAGCAATACACAGATAATAAGATTGTGGTTTGGAGTGGAAATGATGATCAGTGCCATGATTCTCGGTGGTTATATGGGGCTACTGGAGTTGTATCTGTTACTAGTAACTTAATTCCTGGCTTAATTGGGCAACTAATGTTCAAAGGGAAGAATTCATCACTTAATGCCAAGCTTATGCCTTTAATCGAGTGGCTTTTTCAGGAGCCGAACCCTATTGGCTTGAATACAGCTTTAGCTCAACTTGGAGTAGCAAGGCCAGTATTCCGCCTTCCCTATGTACCTCTTCCGCTGGAAAAGAGAATTGAATTTGTTCGTATAGTGAAGGAAATTGGGCGAGAGAACTTTGTTGGTGACAAAGATGTCCAGGTCCTTGATGATGATGATTTTATCTTGCTGGGTCGGTACTAAACTCTTTGATGTTTGTAGCAGTGCATTGTTGGTAGAATCAGGAAATGTGTGTGGAAATGCGGTTTTAGGAATATCAGCATTCTGTTTCTTCTTTCTGCTTGTTTCAGAGTTTGCTTCACTACGCTGTTAATGGTTTTTCTGTAACTTATGTAATGAGTGTCAGAATGGTAGGGGTAGATACCAAAGTTTTGTTCTTTATATTTGACTAATTTACGAGATTTTGGCCTTTGCGCTTCACTGCTCCCTTCAACTTATTCCATCCCTTGGGTCTGTGGGCATGTACAACAGCACAAGCGCTGAATTCCTCCTATGCTAATAAGATATTGCTGCAAGGATACCAGTATGTCTTCTCTTACTGATTCTTTAATAGTCCAATACTCTTGAGTACTTGTATGAATTTACTAGTTTGCCACATTATCTATTCTCATATTAGTGTCTTAAGGTTAAACGAACCTATCAAAAAGTTATTTACATTAATATGCAAAAATCACAATATAGTGCATAATTGCATTGTTTTTTTTGGACAAACATGTATATTATGAAAATGAAATGGCTAGATAATTTGAATTGGGAGGGGATAAAGGATATTGAGGTTAACGCTGGCAGGCGTGGCTCCTGGGTGGGGGTGGGTTGGCGGAGGGCGGGAGAATGTTGCTGCATTCAGGGCAATATGTTAAGGTTTTGTCTAGTTTGTGTTGGTGGCTTAATTTAAGCTGGTGCAACATAGGCGCCTGTAGGGCTGTAGCAGCTACCTCAAAACTGCATCCTTTCAAATTTGATTATGCTTAGAGTGGGTTGATAGTGGACACTGGCAAGTGACCCAAGTTGAGCTAGGTGTGTAAGGATGAGCTGTATTAGAAAAAAAATAATGAAGAAAAGGATAAGCTAGGAAAAAAAATAATAATATTATCCATTTAACTACCTGGGAATCTGGCTAAATAAAAAAAATACTTGTAATACAGTATAATTCTTTTTGTCCTTTTCTTTTTTGAAGCTTATTCATCTTGTCCTTCCCAGCTATATATATTTCTTTCTAAATCCCTTTTCTTTTTGAATTTGTGGATAATTTCTAGCCTTGATTTGCTCATTTTATTTTTTGTAGATATAAAAAGTGTTGGAATTGAGCGACTTGCCACATTAATTACTAGTAGATTGTATCTTCAGCTAGAATTGGTTATTGATATCATTGCTGATCAGTGATCACAAATTCACAATTCATAATACATGGTATTCTATTTTATTTAAACATCCAGCGAACTTAAGTAGGTTTCTTGTATCCTTTTGTTCCTTCATACTCTAACTCCAATCTGAAGTCTTGTCCTATGGGCATCCCTAGATCAGAAATTTCTGAGACAACAAAACCCCCCTGGTTGTCGGAACTCGATCTTAGTCGTAACCCTTTGTTTTTCTTTGTTACTCCAGCACCCATCTGTACTGTATATTCCTTTACCTTAACTCTTCTTTTGAGACCTAGAATGGTTATTTTATCCAAGACCAATCTCTGGCTCATTGCATATCCACTATGCACAACATGGGATGAGATTGTGCCATTGTTTGTCCCTGATTCTGCTAAAAAGCTCACCAAGCTCCATCTTTCACTCTCGCCTCCCATATTCATTTCAACCCCGTCATCTAAGAAAAGCTCCCCGGTGCTGGCTGCATGATCGCTCATAACTACCAGGAGATGGAAAGGTGTGCTCCGTGCAGCTTGAGTTGTCATGGCTTCTCCTTGCATAGCCACAATATTACCTGATATAGATCACAGGGAAAATAGGTTAGGTAGAGAAAAATCTGATCAACCTGTCCCAAACCCCCACAAATCTATATATGATGATCTCGAAAATACACAGAAGTTGGTACAAAAGGACATTTTAGAATTGAAAATTAGATTGACCTATCCAAACATAACTCGACCGACTCAGTCACATATGGAACTTTACAGACCCTGTTAATAGTTGGGGGATTCATACTGGTCCTGAGTTTCAGTCATATTACCTTCATGGATGTGAACATTGATATCGTTAGGAGGTGCACTGAGATTAATATTGCTTCCTGATGATACACTCACTGAAGAAGTGTAGTTGAAAAGATTGAACCAGTTTCCTCTTGGGAAATATGCATTAACAGATACTGCTCCAGGTTCTAGAACAGGCGAAACCATGATCCCTCTTCCGATGAGGAACTGTGAGCTAATTCCATAAGTTGCGATGTCCTCTGGAAAGGTAAAGAACAGAGGTCGCGCAATTGGGGTTCCGCTCAAGTTGGCCTCATACATCAATGTGTAGAAGTAGGGGAGGAGCTGGTAGCGGAGTCCCAACACTTTCCTTGCTGTAGTGGCAACTGATTCCCATCTATAGAGCTCCTGATAAGTAGAATCACGAGTTGAATGATCCCTCGAAAAGGGGTAGAAGGCTCCCAGCTGCATTTAAACAAACACTTCTTATAAGTAACCTAGTTGGCTAACACTACAATATGAAGTTAAGAATACAATGCAGAATACTAGCTTCATTCCTTCAATAAAAACCCATTATCTGGTCTTACTAGCTGTCTAGCCCCAATCCGAACTTTTTACCCCTTATCTGAACTTAATTGAGATGTGTGAATTTTATTGGTGTAGCAATTAGAACTTATTGAATATTATTGTATCAACTTCCTAGCCCTTATGTGAGCTTTAGTATTGAAAGTGAAAAGAATAAAATCTCTGACATACTCTGAAGATCCAAAAGTATCAGTGATATACCTGTATCCATCGACGACAAAGCTCTTCTGTTGTATTTTCAGCAAAACCACATATATCTGCTCCAATCATTGGCATCCCAAATAGTCCAAAGCTTAACATAGTCGGAATAGAATACCTCAAATCATCCCATCTCGCGGCATTATCTCCAGTCCAGTGTGCAGTATACTTCCCAGAGCCAGCAAATGTTGACCTCGAAAGTAGAAATGGCCTTTCCTTGCTGGTTGTAACGAGTGCTTCACGAGTGGCTTGAGATTCAAGAAAACCATAGAGGTTATGAACATTATAGTCCGTAACATTACCATAATGCATAGCTGTTGCTGGAATAGTCTTGCTTATAATGGGTACGCGACCTCCAGAATTATTGATCTTATATGGTGGATCATCAAGGGAAGACCCAGGGGTTGGTGCAGAAGTTATAAAGTTCGAAGCTTCATTCATGTCAATCCAGATGCCATCAAATGGAATAATATCTCGAAACCTCTTAATCTCATCAATCCAGAAATTTTTTGCAGCAGGATTCAGAAAATCAGGGAAGTAAACTGGTCCTGGCCAAACAGTTCCTAGGTAAGGCTTACCATCGCGCTTGATGAAGACATCAGCTTGCATCCCTCTGATGAGAGTTCCGTATGACTTATTTGTATTGATCCCTGTCATAAAAAACAGAACAAAACTTGGCAGATTAAAAGCTTGTGGAAGACCTGTAAACTTTCAGACAACAAAGATTCTGATAAAATCAGTCTGCTGCTGAAGTGCTGAGTTTGTCAGTTGAATTACCAGGATCCAAGATTGGAACATATCTTTGGCCGTTCTTGTGGAGTTTACTAACAAATTGCTGCATCTTGTCCTGAGGGAAGTTTACAGGATCTAGCGTAAAATCTTTGTAGGCGTCCATGTAATCTATATCAGTCCACATTACATCCAAAGGGATCTTAGCTTCTGCATACTTATCTACCACGGAATTGATCTCGTTTACATCATGATAACCCCACCGGCATTGGTGAAAACCTGAAATGTGAGAAGATTGCAAATATGTATGCTTAGTTCCCTTCAATTCATTTGCTGTTGTCAGAACTCAGAAGCAAAGTAGAGTTTGGAAGATTATAAAGTCACATTATCAAATATCATAGCAAACCTTTCATTACAGACGATGTACGTAATATACAAGAATAAGCAAGAATTTTGGATGAGTGAATGGATTACCGAAAGCCCAATAAGGCATTGGAGCAGGGCGGCCGATGAGTTTAGTGTACTGATCCACAACCGCGGCTGGTGTTGGACCAGCAAAGACGTAAAGGTCAATAATACCTCCAATCACCTTGTAAGTAATTCTATCACCAGTGTACTCAACATCCATCCCATTGCTATTCATCAGGAAAACTCCATGTGTGGAACCTACTGCCGGTGAAGACCGAACATCCATATAAAATGGGTGAGACCCATACAAGTTAAGGTCCCTATTGAAGCTAGCAATGTCTGCATTCCAGAGAGTGAGAGTCTGGCTATGAGCCAGCTGAAAGTCAGGCTTAGTGTGCTCTCCAAGACCATAGAGGTGAGCCTGTTGGGCTGGGAGGGAGGAGGAGAGTTGGAGGTACTGATCCTTGAAGACGAGGAAGGTGTTGGGATTGGATTGGATGGGAGTGGTGTCGAAGAGGATGTCGTGGTTGGATTTACGGGAGACTGAAAAACCGAAGGGGGAGGAGTGGGAAAGAGTGAAGGTAAGGTCTGAGTGAGGGTGGGAGAGGACTGTGATGTTGGATTGGTTTTGGTGTTGAAGGGTGGAAAATAGCGGTGAAGATGTTGGAGGGGGTGGGCGTGGGACGACGTCGTTGGGGATCTCCCATCTATGGTTGTTCGCGTCAGTGATTCGGATCCTCAAGGTGTCATCCTCCTCTAAGCTGCAAGGTGAGTTTGGGAGGTTAGCTTAGCCTGGAATCAGAACAAGCTGATATAAGAAATTATACAGTATATATTGTTGTGAAAATGTATAATTAATATTAATACTAATACTAATATAATGAATATAATTGGAATGAAATAAAATAATCAATCGAATAAATGAGTGCTACGTGTATTTTATTGCATATTATAAAGAAGAATTTCACATTTATATACTAATAACAATGACTTGAGTGTTACTCTATATTTGTTATTTTCGCTCTTACTGATTAAAAATTAGGAGCGTTGCATTTTAATTTCCTAGAGGATTAGTGGCTCTATTTTATTATAAATGGTTGCAATAGATTAATAAAAAAAGAACAGAAAAAATAGGTCTGAGTACCTGGCAGTGAGGCCAAGTAACTTAACATCAATGCCATAAACAGAGGAATTTCTGATAAGCTGCAACAAAGCACTCAACGACTTTCCAGAAGTATCATCAACCTTTGCATACTTAACCTCATATCCATACCCTATCATTTCATCATTTTTATGTTCTGATGCCGTTGCTCCTACGACCGTCATGCTCAACACTAGCAGTACCACTACTGCTAGTGTCGAGCAGGCGAGTTGCGGCGACACCTTAGACCGTGCCATATGCCTTATTGGCTGCTCCCTTCCTCTACGATCAATATATCTAGTTTTGGAGACTTTCAGAAAGACCAATACTGAATGATTCT